AAATTTGGAAAGAGTCGTGAAGCGTCATATGGATGGCGGATTCAGATTATGGTTTATACTGTATGAGATTTTTCGATTCTTTAAATCGAATTTCTATTGCATTACGTATGTAATTTTCAGTTCCTTGATAAAGTGAAACTGTTGATGAAATAGCTATTTTTATGCAGCCTGTAATGGAAAAAGTTGGTTTTGTACAAACAAAGCCGGTTCCATGTCATAGACGAAAGCGTCTTCGAAACTTTTTTCTGGGTAAAATTCGAATCTGTACAAAGATGTTTGATAAAATCACTGAAACGTTATTGTATAAAAATATTGGTAGATTATTTCTCACTCATATGTCCTATTGAATGAAGAAGGTAACGGACTGAAACAGTAGCATAGGATTACTAATGTTTACGATGTATATATTTAAATAATTCAGCAGAAAATTGTTTTTTCAAACAATTAGTGATATGTATATTCTCTCAATATGTCGTCTAAAGATTTTGCCACGAATAAGAAGGACATGCTAAAAAACTGAACCGATTATCCTTATCTCAAGCAACGAATATTTACTTCTCACTGGTTGTGAATTTTTATCAGGCATCCTGGCAGGAGATGCAGATTAAAAACAGGAAGATTCTTATCAATAGATGCAAATACGTTCATGGTTACTGTGTGATGTATGCGTACAACTCTGAATCTGACGGTGAATAAAATTATTTTATTTGCCTCTGTTATTCTGAGAAGAAACACGAATGAAAGATGTATATGAAGAACGATGGTAGCCCTAGAATTGAAACATTCCTTATTGATAAAGAGAAACTCAACATAAGATGAGAAATTACTGCTACATCTTAAACATTAGTCAAATATCAGACTTTACTAGCATAACTACTTTAAATACATATTTAGATAAAACTATTGTCTTTTAAGAATCTTGCCACGATGAGAATGCATATATTCCAAGAATTAATACTCAATTTTCATTCTCGGATTTTGGCAGGATATCTCATTTGATTAATTCGTTTTTATTCAGATGGTCGAAAGGAAGAACAGGTTTATATTGCGCCATTTCCTGACTACTAGCGAAACACTGGAAATAATATGGGACCTTCCGTAAACTGATTGCTAATTTTATCTGTAAGTTTGTGGATATAAGGTAGACTATATCTTGCAGGCGAAGTTGTGAAATAGCAGTAGAATATTTGCGATAATTGTCCGAACTACTTCAAACTTTTAGAAGCAGTTATATCTCAATCAGCTTATCAAACACTCATGCTTAGATGCCCACTCAACCGAAATTTGATGTCTGATGACTCGTACAAAATATTCTACAACGTGATAGAGAGTAAAACTTTATATACAACAAAACCTGTTGAATATTCAACACAGATCACTGAGCGAACCGAGGATAAATATATTCGAACATACTAGTTTCATCTAGTTAGGAAATGTGCAGAAATTAAAACTTGTCCCTAGATCTACATTGTTCAATAACGAAGCGAATTGTTCGATTTTTACATTACTGTCCAAGCCCTACATATTTACGACGAAATACTCTACCGGCAATTTACATTTCAATTTGCAAAATAAAAACCAGTAGAAGATATTAAATGAAGGCAGAAATATCGTATAGAATGCAAGAAATAGCACGTTTATTAGTTCGATCGCGCTTTCACATATATCTTTGATGAGCACAGAATCAATTTGATTGGATCTCTTTCATTTATTCTTTTCAATGATGAAACCGATCGATTCTAGTTAGAGATATTTCTATTTTTTTCAGAGGATTGCAACATAACTTCATATTAATCTAGAAGAAAATTTTTAACAGGATTAATAGGTCTCACAATGATAAGCTTCGATTTGGCGAAGACATTCCAGATTCAGATCATCTTTTTTTAATCTATCCTCTGTTCTAGAGATCTAGGATTTTTTTATACACTTTATTTTTAACATTATCATCGAGATTTTCTTGGATATATAGAAGACAAAATTGAATAACTATATTAACTGAAAAGAATGAGTTTACGAGCATGTTTGTTCTACGAAAGACGAGCAGCCGATTTTCTTCCGATACATTCGAGATTGAAACATTAGCATACTCTATTTTACAGTTTACGAATGAACATTGTTTTTCAAATAAGTATGTCATCAAAGAAATCTTGAAAGTGTGGGTATCGCGATACCGCTGATCTGAATAAGTGCCCCAAGCTTTGCGATGAAAATTAGCAGATACAATTAATATGAATTCGTCACCGAATAAAATACTTCCAAATGTATTTAAAAGAAAATACTCTTTATTCTATTGGCTTAAATGATGAATGAATATGAATAATAAACAAATCATAAGTACGGTCAAGAACGTGACAGCTGAACCTTGTTGATTAGTTTCTTTATTGAAAACGTGTTGTTAAAATCATTTGCATTTCTTGAACAATATCTCAGGGATCAGATATGACGCACGTGAACTTCTTTTTTAGCAATTCTCGATATTCTTTCTCGGTTTGAGAATATTTTCAAAATTTTTATGCTCAGCGTTTGTAACTTGCAGCGAATAGAGATCAGATGTTAAATTAAAATAATTAGACATATTATGCAAATGAACTTCTATGAAAATTAAGCAGCAGCTGATAATTGAATTTAATATTCATGATGTTCTTCTAGCAGTTCTCTTGCAGAAATATCTGCTAACGACAATAACCGACGCTTTGCAGTTCTTTCTGGACGTGAATTCACCGATACCAGACAACGGGAAACGAGCAAATTAAATGTTCATTCATTTCGTTGAACGGTATCCACGAACAGAAATCAACAATGAACGCATATATATATATATACATCATTAGAAAAGTATTAGTCAAAAACAATATGAATCAGTTTAACAATAGTCTTCTTGATCTTCATACTGAAGTATTACTTATCATTTTGAAAAAGCTTGAGAACATGGATGTTCTTTATTCATTATTTGATGTTAATAATCAACGACTTGACACCATAGTACAAGAAAACACTTTAGCTAATACTCTCAATTTTGTATTAACAACATTAACTGATGATATTTTATCAATTTATGATCCAATTCTTCATCGATTCTGGATGAATATGTTGCCAAGAATTCATTGTAATGTTAAATCTCTTACTTGTAATTCGTTTTCTATGGAACGTATTCTTCTTGCTGGTGATTATTCTAATTTAAGCGAACTTAAAATCTTCAGTTTTAATGTTAAAATTGCTTCACGTTATTTTTCAGGTAAATAACTTGTATACTGATCTAAATAAATATTTCAATAGACTATAGGTAATATTTATTGATTTTTATTTAGTTAAATCACCATTTCGGCAATTTCTTCAACATCAGATTACAGATCTTATTCTTGAGGGCGTCGATGTAAGATTAGTCTTATCTATACGCCCACACCCACACCCTCATAAAATCGTGAAATGTAAAAATATTAAAACAGCTTCATATACCCTTACGATCACAAACCCTTCGGCTAATGTACCATCCAAAGAGTATATGTCATGCACATAAACCATTTAAGGCTTTATAGAAAAACAAAGCAAGAACAAGCGTTGTTTATTCTGCCCTTTTGTTTCACACTGTAGAGGAGCTCACGCAAGTTCCCAATTTGAAAACATAATTCGAAATTTCCACATTCATTCATCTGCATATGAAAATCTATCGGAAACTCAATATACTCCTACTGAATATACTTCTGTTCTTTTCGAATGATCATAATATAACTTTGTATCAACAAAAACGAATAGGTAGAAATGAAAGCCTTCAAAAACAGTAAATAAACCTCAAAATAATAAAGCGTTGATCTATCAACAACATATCAAATTCAAATAATCTTTATAAATCCTTTCACTGTTTTTAAGAGGTAGGATTTTTATTTTATGCTTTTGTTTTTGCAAAGATTGTGTATGTTTTACTGTAGATTTATGAGAAGAAATCAAATATCGAGATTAACCGAAAAAAGGCTGTATGGCTGCTAATCTATTCGTTATCGCTCATAAATGAATAAAGCATCAAAGAAAGCTGATGAGCTATTTTTCTTCCATTTCCGTTATTAACTGCATGGCTGGAACCATGTAACATATAGTTAATGTATTAGAAAACTGTGCATCTCAGTATTCCTCGATTCAAACTATGACCCGAAAGTAGACCGGTGTCAATTTGGGACTGTGGCTACCCAAAAATATTCACATGTTATTCTTTAGATAAACATCTCGATGAATAATATTTGATATAAGAGAGTTAGCGCGGCATAAACGTTATAACAACTACGATAATTTATCTATATCGTTTTACAGTTCGTGTTATTTCAGAAATATATTGCAACATTTTAAAGAGACAACAATACAAAATGCATGTAATGAAATTCTATGTTAAAATAATATCGATATCATTAGTTCTTAATTATTTCATGAATAACATACCTACACTAGCCTCAAAATCAAGAAATTTTAATGCCACTATGCTATGAAAAAAACTTTTACTCCGCAATTTATACATTCTTTCACTTTTACATAGGCTTACTACAAATGTATCTGAGTCATTTTTTTATGGTACTTAAAAGAAAATAAAAACACAAAAACTAAGAATATATATACACCGCAACAGAACAAAATGGATACTATACATTTTCTACCATTTAATTGGAAATATCACTGTAAACCTTTGTATATATGTCTGAATGAATCGAAAAAGGAAAAGCGTGTATGTCAATATCAAGATTGAAAAGTAAACCTGTAATGTAATGACTAATGAAGACATGATAAATTGTACAATAGTATTTCTCTGACGATAGTCAACTACAATAAAAGTGCTCTTATCTTTACAACTAAACCCACACAATTCTGATATTCAGTTTTGAATCACCCTCTTATATATATACGTATAAGCTTTGGTTGTGCTCTCAGTACAAGCAGTTTTCATAGACGCAAGCTCTATCATAAATTACCAATAACTATTCCTCAGTATAAAAATCTGCTATGCCTTCAAGTGGACAGACTGCCAACATTTTTATGATAATAATAGGTATAATTGGTGTGTTTGGAATAATTACTTTCGCTCTTGCAGCTGCCACTCTTGGTACTCTCAATAAACGATACAGTAATCTCGATCAGGATGCAGAAATAGTGATGGGTCTGGTGCGTGAGATCAATGCACGACTATCTTCAATCGGTGAAACGAGCAAACCATCGACCGCTCAGCCTAACACCGGAACTACAGAGACAACCACCACAACTACAGGGCCTTCCACGACAACAGGAGAGTCTACGACCACAACTACAGGGCCTACCACGACCACAACTACAGGGCCTTCCACCACCANGGTTCGAATGATGTAAGAATGTCCGAGAATTGCTTTCAAGAAAGATAGTTGATGATTTTGTGAGACATCAACTTCAACGTGTCTACATGGAGACCTAGTTGAGCTCATCACACATGAAAATTATGTTTTTTACTGGTCAAAATTACATCAGTAGATTCAGATTTTCATGCTGAATTCGATGATGGCAATTTTCTTATCTCAGAACATTATTAAACTAGATAAATTTCGAGTTTTCTCGAAAAAAGTGAAATATTCACTTTTACAGGTGCAGATTGTATTTTGAAAACGTCTCAACCAAAACGGAAGCCTAGAAATATTTTAAAAATGATATTCAAGATCTACTCATCGAGCTCTATCCAATCATGTAACAATAAATGGGATTTTTCTCCTGCTCGATTTTTGACCTTGGTGCATCTTATATATTTTATGATTGCTTTAGCTTGATAAAAAACTTGATCTTTGACATAGAACTTCTATAATATCGAGGATGAGAAAAACATACATATTGTTTGCTGTTATCTTCTAGAACAAGAAAGTATCAACAAATAATAATCATATGCTAATTGAAAGTTCCGTAACACAAAGAGAGTAATCTCTCAAATAAAGGTGACAATGATAAATAATCAAAGAGTGTTATCGATATTTATGCGGCTTTTGTCCTTTTCTGATCATTGAAGAAGCTAGTTCACTAAGAAATAAATAATAACCATGGTACAAACTGTGATGATTGTCGCCTATCATTAGTCTAATGTGATAACGTCATAAATTTCATTTTAGATTGATACAGTGATAAAGAAAGAGAGACAAACGTATAGGATGGTCATATGGGTTTAATGTTAGTTTACAGAAGGTACGATGACACCAAAAACGATTATTTCATCGAATAAGGAAGCTCTTATACAACGATGGCAACATCAACTTATCGGTCGTACACATATAAGTTTCGTAGAATTTATGCAACTTCTTCAACAACGTGTATGTATGAACTCTGACATATCTTGTCTATTATGCATTTCTCGTATTTACGAAACATGATCTTTAGTGTTATTATTTCTTTTTTCTTCCCAGCTATTGTTGGAGACGCTCTTTTGCTTGTTCGATCGTGATTCGAGCGGGCTACTCTCTGAATCTGAATGGATTGGATCTATATACAAAGTTGCCGAGTATGTGTACACGATATTCACACTAATTTTGTCTCAACAAACATTTGATCATATGTCTATATGTTAATAGGATATCCAATCGTACAAAAGACGTTCGAACACTCGAACCATTCATACGTGCTTTTAACCATATTTCACACGGATGTGATTCACTTTCTATACATGAATTTTGTATGTTATTTGACGATACATTTGTATGTAATTTATCGATGTACAAAAGTTGAGTTCAGAATTCATTTTTTTTATCTTTGCTAGTTTCGACGTGAATTCGCTTTATTGTTTATTAGTGAAACAACCTTGTTAGGTGTAATGGAATTTACTGATGTACTTCATTCTGTTTCTAAGTTTGTTAAAATTTTATTTTGATTATTATGTTCTTTAAGAATTCATTGTTAACTCTTTTTTTTCTGTAAAGTCTTAAATCCGATACGAAGTGGCTATCGTGGCTTGCTTATCAATTTCATATGGCAGTCAGTAAACGTCGTAATACAGCCAATCATAGATATCAAATAGAAGATAGTATGGATCTTGAAACATTTAAAAGTAGTTTTCATTTCAAAGTTGTATGTATTATTATAATTAAAATAAAAATTTTATTTTTTCTCAAATATTTTCTATTTAAAGCCAGAATTAGCTGATTGTTTATTTAATTATCTCGATACGGATAAATCTGGTCAATTGACATTAGAAAAATTCATTCGAAATTTAGAATTTCTTACTGAAGCAAATGATAATGAAAAAGTTGAATTTCTTTTCAAAATTTTTGATCGTGATGGTTTGTAATATTAAAAAATCAATCAATAGAATGAAACTTTTGTTTTTATTTAATTTAATTTATTTAAGGTGATGGAACTATTGATTTTGATGAAATGAAATTATTATTTCGTTGTTTTCTTGAACAATCTCCTTCACTTGATATGGAAGAAACGCTAGCAGAATTAACTGCTACTCTATTTCAAGCAACTGATGTTGATCAATCAGGTGATATTAGTTTTGATGAATTATCAAACGCTCTTCGACGAAATGAGCACTTATTTAAAGTACTTTCACTCAGGTAAAATATGAATAACTATTAAAGAATTCTCCCCAACTATATTAGTGTAGACGATTGTCCATGAACGAGTATAGCATACATAAAAAACAAACAAACATTTTACATAAGTATAGGCAATTCATTCAAATTTTAATCGAATGTTTCGATTCATCTTTTAGCTCTGTGCAACATGGCATAGTCCCACGTAAAAATAAAGAATATTCACTTATTTTCAAATTAATTTTTAATTTTTAATATTAAATCTTCTTCTGTTTCTTTTTTGTTGTTGTGATTACAGTTATCCTTCAGAATATATTCATAAAATATCGATAAATTATTGATAACGGGTTATTAATTTCTTTTGCTAGAGCAGAAGTTAGAAATAGATGAATGATAAGATTTGATCTATTTATCATTGTATTCTATGGATAAGCATATTCTTTTTCTCGCTTTTGATATTTCATTGAAAATAGCTGTATATCAGAGCTCCGCGTGGGATGGGACAATCCCATCCCATCCCATCCCATCCCATCCCATCCCATACGTCCCATGGGATGCAACTTTTTAAATAAAAGCTCATGGGATGGGATGGGACGGAAATTTTTTGAGAGTCGTCCCATCCCATGGGACAAAAATTTCTTCGTCCCACCCATCGTCCCATGGGACGAAGAAATATTATATGAATCTATTCATTTTTACTAAAAATAGTATAGTCGTTTCAATATAGATGTCGTACCCAACTGTGTGAGAAAAATAGTTAAAAATGTAAACTATACGTGGTCAACTAGTGCAGCTATTTCGATTCAATGTACAACAAAATATAATAATGAACTTACGCATAGAGGAAAAAATGCGATTTGATCTATTGAAACAGTAACAATTGATTTAGTTATTGTGGCTTATAACTGGTGAAATGTCTTTGAATAATTCGTTCCATGGAAAATATGAAAGTTGTACAATGATGTAACACTGAAACTTTATACTTTTATTTATTTTTTCCAGTTGCTTTTGTATTTAATGAAATATTTTCCTTTCTCATTTACTAGTTCTTTTCTCTATTTTTTAAAATGCTGTATTTATAACTAGGATGATGTCATTCATTATTGTAATATGCAAAAAGAACAGAAATTCGAACTATATTATAATTCGTAGTCTCACTCGATCGATGATAATCAAAAAAATTTGAGACCTTAAAAAACATTTGACATTTCAGACGTCCCATGGGATGGGATGGGATGGGATGGGATGGGACGAAAAATGTTTAATCGAATCCCATCCCATGGCGGGACAACTTTTTTTTTATTTGTCCCATCCCATGGGACAAGCTATTGAAATCTGTCCCATGGGATGATTTTTTGCGTCCCATCCCATCCCACGCGGAGCTCTGCTGTATATCAAATGTTACGTTAACATTTTTTTGTACAACATTATGTTAAATTCATGAGATGCTACGGAATTCTGATGTTACATTCACTGTTCAATCGATGGAAAGAGATTTTTCAGAAATGCATTCTATGTAAGTATTTACAGATGAAACATCTGTCTATCGAATATTAAAGTTAACTTTCATTGGCTATCTCGAGTTTTTGGAATGGATGTGTTTTTGGATAATCTCTATTCAATATCTTATTAAGATCGATGTTTTTAAAATACTAGATAAATCAACGTTTATTTTCTATATATGAATTTTACACATCAATATTGACTACGATAGAAAGAATCCTCACGAATAACTTTAAAATCTTTTCATTTAATCAATCAATTTGTTATGCATATTTTAGTACAAGCAGCTGGATTCGACCAAAATCTACATCGATAAGTAAATGTCAAAGACATTCATCAACATTACGTGCTTGGATACGAAATAATATTGATTTAATTTTCTTTTGGTCACTATATTCATTTATATGTACCTGCATTTGTGTTGATGTACTACATTTTTATGTTGGTCAACAGCATGCTCATTTTTTCATTGTAATCGCTCGACTGAATGGTAAAAAGATATCTTCTTCAAGATGATTATCTGTTGAACATTCAATTTTTTATTTCTTCAGGTGGTATGCTTAATTTTAATTGCGCATTAATGCTTGTATTGATGCTTCGCAAACATATAACATGGATACGATCAAAAGGTGGTAGTGTTCTTCTTCCACTTGATCATCATATTGATATACATAAAACTATTGGAATTATTATTATGATTGAAACCTTTTTACATACAGCTGCACATTTAGCTTATTTAGGTTATTTTTTGTTTATTTAACTATTTTCATAATAACACTACGCATTCGTTTTTGTTTTTTCAGCTTATGTATTTTATGTTTGTTCATTACCACAGGATGTTGGTTTTTCGTGTCCGAGCGATGTTGGCATAAATCAAACACTAAAAAGTCAAATCTTATTCACCAAACGATATCGATTTGATTCGACAATAAATCAATGTGTTCCATTTGAATATTTTGGATGCGGTGGTAATTGGAATCAGTTTTATAATCAAGATTCATGCACACTTCGTTGTAGTGAGAATTTCATTTATTATCTTAAATTATTTGTTTAATTTGTATGGTATTTTGTATCTGTAGAAGCATATCGTAATACAAATCATCATTATTTTGATGCAATTTTTACAGCTAAATTAGGACTTGGCTATATTACAGGAATACTTGAATTATTATTAGGTGCACTTATTTATACAATGTGTTTGCCATTCGTTCGAAAAAAAGGTCATTTCCAGGTAAAACTAATCTTTGCTTGTATTTTATGTTTAATATATATTTGTTTTGTCTTATCAAGTTATTTTATTGGTGCCATATGTTAACACTTCCATGGTTAGTTATTATGCTTCTGCATGGACCACGGTTTTGGAAATGGTTATTAGTTCCTGGTCTTTTGTACATGATTGAAAAAACTTTACGTTATCGTAAATCACGTTCAAATAATCATGGTGAAACTTTTGTTATGGAAGCTATTCTATTACCATCCCAAGTAACAATTAATGAAAACTTTATTCTCTGATATTTATTCATTTTTACCATTTTTTTTAAATATATGCTTAGGTCATTCATTTAGTCATCAATCGACCAAGAAAATTTACTTATAAACCAGGCGATTATATTTATATCAATATTCCAGCAGTTGCTAATTTTGAATGGCATCCGTTCAGTATAAGCAGTGCTCCGGAACACAAAGGTATGAAAATAGACAATGAATGAAAACAAAGTGATTCTTTTAAGAATTTCCTTTATTAAGCGCATAGAGAATATGGTAAGTATAGGAAGATTTCATGTAACATGTGCTGATCATCATTCGTTTTGAAGATTTTAATAAAAGATCATAGTTACAAAGATTCGTTTTTCAAGAGAGTAGCTTCCATAGATATTTAGTTATTAACTAGTCATTTTTAGATTCTCTTATGCTAAAATATGAAAGTAAAATATGAGATTTTATTAAAATTGCAAATGTAATCCTTTAATAACGATAAATGATAATATTTCACGATTCAGTGAGAACTATGGCAAAATTTTAAAATATAACATATTTTTTTATAAAGATAATATTTAATGTGATATTGAATACCATAACGATCCTTTTTTGTGAATTTTAGGATGTTTTAAAACTATTTTTTCATCGAGCTTCATAGTGACGTGACCTGCAATATTTTAAATTAAACAATCAAAAAACAAATATCAGATTACGGCTTGTCCAAACGTAGCGCTGTGACATTTTGACAAATTGCTTTGCAATTATCTTGAAAGGCATAAGAGCTAATAGGATCGTCCAAACATCATTCGACGTAGCTTATCATATTATATTTATGTGGAAAAAATGACCCAGTTTGACTGAACTCTCCCGCTTCTAGAAAGGTTTTATCATCGCGCAACACGGTGACAACAAAAAGGACCCTTTTCCTCTAGGACTGCTTATAAAACTCTAATTTTTTGACAAATTATTTTTTCAAATTAAATGCTTATGGTACCAGTTTTGTAGAGAATTGAATGGGCTTTCAAGCAGTAAAAAAACATTTTTCTAAACTATTTTCGCTCAGATTAAATATGCAAAAAACAAACGTAACGCTGTGACACGTTTTTTTGTCGACCAAATTTGAAGCACTTAACATGCTTCAAAATATTTAATGTTTAATGTATATTGATCACTGCCGTACATATATCCTTCTGTAAAAAAAATCAAGTTGCTGCATTGAAATAGGAGCTCAAAAATTGTACAGTAAGTTAGAAACTGTACAAGAGCTTAGAAGATGTCCTGAAGAATGAGAGTAAAAAATAAACAGATCATTTTGTAGAGGATCAAATTCTGCGTAGAATGGTATATTAGTCCGCATTTTTGTTTTAAATTTCTTGGTTAGAAAATTGAAAATACAGTTTTTAAAAACTTTAAAACGCGATTTTCGATGCCAAAACCCAATTTTTTTTAAGAAAAAAAGTTCAAATTCACAATCAGTGTCAAACTCTATGCCAGAAAATACGCTTAGATCTGTGTATGTCAGAAAAAGAAAGTTTTAAAACTTGATCAGCGAAGTAGCGCGTTACGTGGACAAGCCGATTAGATGAGCTCAATAAAGCTTCTGTTTACTGAGCTTTTGAAAAAATATTTAAAAATACCGTACGCATTTGCTCAGAAAAGTCTGGAAATGCGTATTTGTGTCAAAATAATATAGTTATTTTTGTTATGTTTCTATGAATATCATAGAGTTTTTACTCGTATAGTTCAAGAATTTTGTTTAAAACTGTACAAAGAATCATTAACGTATCTTTATGAACAAGCTTCTACTTCCATCTATCATAATTTACATGTAATAAAAACTAGAATTGGTCCTCGTAGGTAGTATTAAATAATAAGCAGCTGTAGAAATTAGTTAAGATAACAATGACTTGAGAATTCTACGTAACTCTATGGATTTTCTATTTAGTTTAACAGAGTCATTTCTAGGAATAGAGTCAATGAAATCTCATCAATTTTCCGAATTGATTCTTTCCATTTAATATATGTTTACATGTAGTGTTATTTTGTAATGTCTCTGTGCAATTCAAAGCATAGGAGAACGAAGGAAAATTCTTTGACAAAAGGAAGTGACAAGATAATAAAATTTTTAATTTGCATATAATTTTCGTACGAATAGATACCGATTGCATAATCAAATAATTAAAAATATGAATTAATCCATTGCAGTATCTTGTTTACTATTGAATAAATCGTCATTTATAACTCTATATTAGTCTTATTCTTCTAAAAAACAACAAAAGATTTTTACTACAAAGATATGATCAATTGTTATTTTAATTTCGAGTTTATCTTTTTGTTAACATGGCATAGAATTTCTTCTGAATAGTTCTAAAAACAAATCCTCTATATAGTTCGAATTTTTTACAATTATATTAACTATTTTATTTATTTATTTATTTATTCTATAAAAAGTTTCTTTATCCTCCAGAAAGTCTGTGGCTTCATGTTCATGCAAGTGGACATTGGACTCGACGTGCATATGAATTATTTCGAATGAAATTAGTAGAAAAACATGGCGGTATGTTAAATGATTTTAATGATTTACGTCTCCGTTCATCAATGCGTTCACGTATGTCAAAGAGTTATATTGATGAATTACGTGGTATACATCAACAAGAAAGTCATTCTCAAATTGATCTTAATAATAATAGTAATAATCATGATAATGACAATGATACTTGCAATCGTTCATCTGCTTCTTCAACATCACAAATTCATTCTATTCAAGCGAAAAGAACGATTTCAAAATCATGTCCAACATCAAAAGATCATAGCAAAATAAAATGTTCATCATGTAAATCAACATTAAGGTTACTTGATATACAAGTAAAATCGATTGATAAAAATCATCACACAGTTACGCAAACAAATCGATCAAATATGCCTAAAATTGATAAATCGATTCTAATGAATCCAAATAAATTAGAAAATATGATAGTTGAAGACATTGAACAATTACCCGAGAAAAATCATGATATTATACAAACTGAACAACAAACAAAATCAATAACAATAATTACACCAACCATTAAAAACAATAATAATAATAATAATGATAATCATATTAATAGTCGATTAACGGCACCAATTAATAGTGACTATTGTATAAGAATGCCAAATACATCGACGATGTATCGTCAACAACAACAAATAGAATTGAAAGAAACACGTTCATCGGATGCACTTGGTTATTTACGTATGTATAAAAATCACAATCGAATACAATTTAATTCACTTCAATTTAATGATCGAGAAGATTTACAAGTAAACAAAATAAATTTTTTATTTGTATTTAAGTAGAAAAAAAATAAGAAAATGATTCTCTAGATCTTAATTGATGGTCCATATGGTGCACCATCTCAACATATATTTGAAGCCGAGCATGCTGTTTTAATAGCTGCTGGTATTGGTATAACACCATTTGCATCGATTCTGCAAAGTATAATGTGTCGCTATCGAAATCGTCGACATAAATGTCCTAATTGTGAATATATTTGGGATAATCCTGAGAGCGAAGAACTTTGCATAAAAAAAGTATGCTAAATTGACTCTCTATTACTTTATCCTTATCATTTTATTCAACTTTTTAAGGTCGATTTTATTTGGGTAACACGTGAACAACGTTCACTTGAATGGTTCATTAGTTTATTAGCACAAATGGAAATAGAACAGCAACGTTTAAGACAAATTTCTGATAAAGGTTCTCTACTTGAATTTCATTTATATGTAACAAGTGCACAATCACAAGCAGATTTAAAAGCATTGAATATTTATTTATCACTTGATTTAATTGGAAGAGAAAATTCTACCAATTGTGATGCTATTGATGGACTTCGACAACGTACAAAACATGGTCGACCAGATTGGGATCAAGTAATAAAAACATATATTATGTTCTCGTTTTTTATTTGTTTTTCATCTATCAAACTTATGAAATCGTCTACCTATATTCAACATGCTCAAACTCGAATAAACGTAGAGTTTCTCTAGAAATAGTATCCTTAAAACATTCAGCCCACACCATAAAGCAATCGACGATGAGATACTTAAGATGCGTATATGCAAAATACGAAAAACAATCCAAGTCATATGAGAACATTTTATAAAAAATGTATGACTGGTTGAAGTGACATTTTTTGCACTATAGTGTTAAAATATCGGAGGTGGTTGTGAATAGTAGACATTCATGTCTTATTTATTTGAATGAATCAACCGTTAGACTTCTATAGTTTGTCTAAACTGAGACTTATGATGATTCACTCCTGTTCACGTCATATTTATTAATGAGAAAATATAAGTTTATTTCATGATCCGATGTCATGCGTATATGTGTGTGCGTGTCAACAAAGTTGAACATAGCATTAAAAACAGACCGAATTCAACGAGTACAAAACGCTTTCCATCAAATATAAACCCACGAGTTTCGGCTAAATTTACCATATTTTTCGTGTTAAATAAGCTTGAGAAAATTGATACACTTCAGAAGGATCAAACAATTTTTTCTAGAAATTTTCTAATGAAAAATTTATTTAAGCGACAGATATCTATTTTCTGTCCTATATAGCAATTAAAAAGCTACCATAGACAAAAATGATAGTTGTCACGTCAAATAGAATAAAAATCAGGCGCACTAGACTATAAAGCATGTGTCAAATAGTTACATCTATTTTGCCTTGTCGCGTGACTTGATTCAATGGAATTTTTTTTCATTGATTCATGTACATAGCGTATAGCTAACATTCAATCATCAACGTAAAAATGCGTATCACGGATAGTTTCTGTTGGCGTTTTGCTCATCTTTAATCAGTTTTCATATTCACTTTGCTTTTATTGGAACTTCTCTTCAGACAATATCATTTTCTGTTTTTCTTCCATGTTTAATAACATCAATATTTTAAAGATCAGTTCTAAATCTGAAAGCAACTATCGCGAGGGTTCAATGAGCAAGAAACTCGAAACATGAAAATTTGCGCAAGATAAATTGGTAATCAAAATTAGCCAACAATAAACATTCTTATGGCTTGTACTTTTATAATTTTGTATTTAAGGTATTTACTGAACTTGTATGTCAAAAAAAAGGCAAAATATCTGTGTTCTATTGTGGACCACCGTCATTATCAGCTGAATTAACAAGAAAATGTCGTCAATATGGATTTGCTTACAAAAAAGAATTATTTTAATGATTAATAAAGAAAATGTTTTTTTCTTTAGTTTCTTTTTTCTAAATGTTTTCTATTTGATCGGAAATGTCGTGCTTTTTATAGATATTGAAACGATAATAAATCCGATTGCAACAATGTTTTTGTTTTCTTTTATGTAAAATAAAACTAATAAAAATTATAAATGACATTTATCGAATAGAGATAATCAACTAGCAATTTAAAAACTATTTTAAAAAAGTCATTGGCTGCAATAAAACGCATAGAATTTTTTATCTTTGAATTAGTTTTTAACCTATATATTTAATTAGATAGACAAGTAAATTTTACGCAGAATGTGATGTAATTGACACACGTTGATGAAGCTGACAACACATTTTAAATCTATTTTAAACTTCTTTGATTTAAAAACAACAGTGCAAATTATAATTTGCTTTTATTATTAGTTTTTGCTGCTTAATAACAGAGAATTTGCGTATACGATCTTGAGCATTTATGAGATTGCCTGCATAATTTTGAATAGACTAATAAATATATGCATGAATTTTATTCTGCGTCTTTGAATAGATGGTTCTTTTCCGACGTCATTGCATAGTTTATATTTTAACGTCATTGTTTATAATGGAAAGAGAAAATAAAAAATTTTCAAAAAAAGACAAGGAGAGAGAGAGAGAGAGAAGAGAGACAAACAGTGGCAGTTAATTGGTTGAATTAAACAGATATTTTTCTTATATATCGAACACTCAATATTTCTTGTAGTTCAATATAAATTATTTTCTTATTTCTTCTTTTATACAACACAATATATTCAATATCACATTTGAGACAAAGACAGTATTCCCAATAGGTATGCCAATTGTTATTTAATTGTAGAATACGCTGAGAGTTTTAAGTAATACTTTAGAATTAGTAGATCTTGTGTCTATTCTAATACATAGCCTTTTTACGCTTTTGTATTAATAGAACACGATTACTTCTGAGCAATTTGGTATTTTCCCACTTTTTATTGAGAAACGAAAAGCAACAGATAGTTTGTTCCGTTTGTTGATATAAACAAATCTCAATATTGTATGTAGAAGAGAAATCTTCTCCTAAGAAATTAATTAAGACGACGTCTTCATAATGATTTTTTCCATTACATCATAGTCAATTTCAGCGATTCTCATAATATAAAAATGTGTTTAATGGTCTGACTGATGTTGGTACGAAGAAACTTTCCTTTTATTTCTTCTTATATTCACGGCTTAATCAGTATAAAATCTCTGCACAGCGATGTTTATATTCTCAGATTTCATTTCAAAGTACTTCTATTGGATGTGAGTCTATTATGCGCATACTCAGGTAGAGAAAGTCAACAAAAAACAACAAACTATTTTTACGATTTTAAGCGTGTGCTTTGCAAAAATGATGCCCTGCTTTTTTGCTGAAAAAAGACAGTAAAGCGGAAGATCATTATAGACACACAAACGTGTTTTTTTTTCATTCAAAAATAGAAATCATTTTGAAGATATAAAAGAAACGTAGATAATTAAGCTTTAAACTGTTATTCACGGATTGAGTAAATTCAAGTTTTTTATTTTACATTTACAATTCATGTTAGTATTAAAAAAGAAATATAAAAGAAATATGTTGTTTTTAGAATGATTCTAACATCAGCATACATTCTTGTTTTACTCAGCATAACTGGTCTTGTATTAACTAATCCTGTTCAATACACATCATCAAATGAAGAATCTGAAAATATTACATTAGCTCCAGCTATCGATAGAGCTGAAAAAACGCTGGAACATTATTCTCATTTAATCAGTTCCGATACTGATCATCTTGTTTATGGCATATTGCATGTTTTAAGGAAAGATCCAACAGCAATTACATTTATTCCATATGATGCAATGGATATAGTATTCAAAAAAGTGGCAGAAAAACTGGGTTACGATGCCGTTGAAACTATATCAAAACCTATTCTATTGTCACTTGAAGAAAAGGATAGACAACCATCAACATTTAAATTAACCGATGAAACAAGGGAAAAAATTGAAGAAGATTTGGACAACTTTTTTTATAAACAAGCCTTTGATCATCATATGTGAACAAAGAAAAACACGAAAAAAGAAGTAATGAGAATAGAAGCCAAGAGAGAAACAAGAGAACAAAACAGAATTAAAAACATAATCTATTTGTTTGTGTGTATGTAAGTTTGTAAAATGGAAATAGTGAAGGGAAAGCTCATAGCCAAGAATATCGAATTTTTTGCTGTATTTATTTCGCTCTTCTAATAATTGTTGGAATAAAAAAAATCTTCAAAAATGAAACGGTGAAATATTGATTCGAATTACATAAATTGTATGTAAACGACGACGATGATGTTGAGATGAATATTTACCATTGAGTTCATTATTGTATACATGTATTTCCAATTCATACTCATGTGAATCAAATAATGTTTGATTTGTTTTTAGATCAATGCCATCAATTATAAACGGAAGAGGCATATTCGGATTACTTTTATCAAACAGTTTTATCAAAGTTCTATTTCGATTTACTATAGGTAAACTGAAAAATGTTCGATTTGATGATGTTAACCTTGACAGAGCAATAAATCTATGACGAATATAAATAGGTTGACGAGGACGACATGATGATAAACGTTGATAACATTTTAATAAACAATCATTTTCATTTTGACGTATGTAACCAACAGGACACGGAATATCTATACATTCGTAAGCGCCTCGAGTATTGAAACATGTACGATCTTGGCCACACTCAATTTGAAATTGATGACATTCATTAATATCTAATTATACGGTATTTGAAAGAAATTATTGGTAGAAATAAGACAACGAAACAAACCTTGACATTGCCCTGAATTGTTCATTTTAAATCCAATTGGACAATAACATCGATAAGATCCTACCTGATTTTCACACATATATTGGCATATAGTTGTATGTTCAATACATTCATCAATATCTATGAAAATGAAAACGATATGATCAAAACATATTAAATCTATTTTGTCGGTAGATGTAAATTATATTTAATAGTTTCACTAACAAATATTCTTTTGATGTAGTAATTCTGTGTTTGAAAATTAGAAAGATAGGAATTTCTTAACTATTAGAGACAACTAACCAAATACTTATAGAACATGGAAGAATATTTTTCTTGAGACATATTCTGAATTGTTTCATTAAAATATTATTTAGTGTATGTTTAAATCTATTATCTTGAACTAAATATGAGATGTTAAAATATACCTTCACATAATCCAGTTTCGAAATTTTTTCTATATCCTTTTTCACATATATCAGATTGGCAGTTGTTGCACTCTATAAAAAAAATGAGACAAATATGTTTATATCACATGCTCGCCGATGTCTAATACCATGGCAAAATTCGCCTTTACGTTCAAAACCATCGGGACATATCGAACTTTCATTTAATTCTAATATTGGTTCAATAAACCATTCAAGTGTTTCTTCGTTTTCATTATAAATTGGTACTAGTAGATGTGAGGAAAATATTGAAATCAATAAATTTAACAAATAAGTTGTCTTACTTGTAAACATCTTTTTTAGATGATGTACAGGAGCTTTGAAAGTTGTCGGATATGCCTTATTCGGTGTGCATTTAATTGTTTGACTATAATTGTAGGCTAACATTTCTTTTCCAAGTAGAAAACCACTTGAAAATGTACGAAAATGACCTAAATTTAAAAGCAAAATCATGTAAGATTTGTTCACATTATTCATTTACTCTCAACAGAAATTAATATTCAAATATATCATGGATGGACAAATCATTTCAGATTATATGTAATGACAAGACAGAATTATTTAATTTTTCAGTATCGTTGTGTGGCATAACATATTTTGCATCAGATTGTTAGATTAAAACTCTAGAAATACTTTAGATCAAATTAATGTCCTTTGATATTTTCCAGTTTCTACTTGTTTCTTATTTTAATGTTTTTCTTAGAAGTAACTCTCATACGTTTATTATTCAACTACTTTTTTGAACAGTTAAGCAAGATTGTATTATCATACGTATGTCTTTATGTCAAATTCCTAAGCTATGTAATTTTACCACGCTATTAGTTTTAGCAAAATAAATTATTCGTACATTCACTTGATACAAAGAAGTCTCAGTAACTTTCAGTATAACGACATAATCATTAGATTGCCTTAAAAGTTTTGAAAATTAATATTTTATTTAAGAAAATAGAAGAATAATATATTGGACCAATTTGAGCAGATGTCTCCGGTCAAAATAACCCGTTGTTATTTTTAATGAGCTAGCCAACTGAGACAAACTACAAAAGCGGCAACTTTCTTTTGGATTCATTTTAAATCATAGTGGCAAAATTAAAAATTAAACAACATTAAAATTGTATGACTGCGTCATTTTATTGCTTAGTTTTTTTTTTAGCAAGGGCGCGTTTGAGCTCGTCTCATGAAAACAAATTTGCTTTTGATTGACGTCATGCAAAATTGAGAGTGATTAGTAGGGAAAACGTGTATAAATAAAAACCATTGAATTATTATCGATTATATTATTCTTTTTCAAGCTACCATCAAGATATTCAACAATGGCTAATATGTTTATTGGAAAAACAGCTTGTTAGCGCAGCTCCATTCGTGGCTAAAGTGTGGAGTCTCATATATCTCATAGGTTTACTAAAATAACTCAAATAAAAACTCCACCTTAATCTCCAAAACCTATAACTAAGTCATTATCTATTTGCTTATATCTGTAATGAAGGGTTAATTATTAACTGTTAGAGTCTAGTTGCTATGGTCTGTAATGGGTAGGCCTTAGTTTTTTCGTATTGTCTATAAGCAAAACAAGAAGAAATAGCAGCCTAATTAGTCTAGCCCCTAATTAGCACAATTTTACACTCATTAATGTCTGTAATGGGGAAGGGGAGTCGCAAAAATCTCGCTTTTATATTTACACTAATTATTTTCTTCGAAAATATATGTGAGTTTCACAAAATATTCTTTCGTCAATACTCAATTTCGCTTGCTTGTAGTTTTTCTTTATCAGAGAAGGTAAAAGTATATTTTTACGACACATAGTGGTAATAAAAAGAAAATTTTCTCATGCATTTACAATGTCCGACAATGGCATTACTATTGTCGAATTTTTTCAAAATATAAGTATAACCGCAGTAAAGCAAAAAACCATGAAATTACTATTTGGTAATGTGAAAAAATGAAATCAAATATTAGAACTTGTTATCTGTAATTATGAAGGATTAATTATGCGCGACTTAAAAGTATTCAAGCATTCCAGGAATTTCATATCGATTAAACCATACTGAGATCATCAAAAGACACGATCTTTTTCTCTGAAAAGTTGTATTATTCTAAGTCAAGAATCAAACAAATAATTCGATTCCTTAGCTCTCAGAAAATCAACTTTGATCAATATTCAATTGTTCTTCATCTAAGAGAATTAGAACGTTTTTTTTTAGGTTTAAGCGTTAAAATAATATTCTATTTTTACTTTATCAATTGTATTATACTTATTAATAGTAAAAGTTGGAAACGAATAAAAATTAAAAGAGTAAAGATATAAATTTCAAACTCGGCTCCACAAAACCCTGAATTCTATAAAAGCTACGATAAATCGTGTCTACTGTTAAATTGAATACCTTACATAGAGTTTGTAATAGTTGAAATAATTTCTTGTTGATTAAATTACTTCTCATGTTAAAATTTACTATAATTAGTATTACAATAAATCTGTCAATCGATAGATACTTGTACTTTGTCAAATTTTTTGTGATAGTAAAATTTTAAACCAACTCGCGACAAACTTATGTTGTCAAATGAATATCATAAACAATTAACTATTGTTGTAAGATAGGTATTAGTCAACCAATGGTAATTATAAATGTCATATTAGGTTTATGATCGCAAGAAGTAAAACAAATTCTAAATCCAAATTTTCTCTTGTACCCAACTCAAAGGTTATCAAATCATATGAATATGAATTTATTGAGTATCTATTCATAGTGAAAATTTTGTTAAGATAAAAAAGACCAATCGTGTAAAAAAATGGTTCGATTCATGTAGTCAACCAAAATCAATAATATTCATTGAATTCATAAGAAATAAAAAATCTTTTTGTTGAGTCTTTTTTGTAAAGAGAAATAAGCCTGTAAGCATCTACTAACAAAAACAGCAGCAACAACATAGAACATAAAATTGACATGAAAACAACGTATAAGCAAATTGTTTCAGTAATTTTCTTTAAATATCCTTTTCCGTTTATTTGACCATATAGGAACAAATTGAAAATGTAAACTAAAATGTTGATGCGTTTCATGAGAAGATTCATTAATGTTTGATTGTTTTCTTAGTTCATGTAATTCTTGTTGATTGGATAGATTATTTGAATTTGATACTTCATCAAATGATACTCGCTCATTCATTTGTGAATCTGTATTTCTCATTAACATTTGATGTGATGGTTGTTGATATTTATTTTGTTTACATAATAATTTTGAATTAAAATGACACCAACATGGAAAATATTTTCTTATTAAATTAGGTAAACGTGTTAATAAAAAACTATCACCAAAACGAGCAATTAAAAATAGAAACCGACATACTGTTGAAGCTATTTCGCTATGTTCTGATAACATATTTTCCGAGATGCTTCTAGTCTGCTGCTGTTGTTGTTGTTGCTGATTATTGTTATTATTTGATAGATTATATTTAATAATATATTCAGGAATATGTTTTAAATGAAATATCATTTGAATGAAATGTTGTGGAAATGTAAATAGAACATATTTAAGTAGAAATAATAATAATAAACGATAGCATAAATGACAATACGAACGTTGTCGTTTTAGTTTTATTATTGCTCTTTGTAAGAAAAAATCACTTTCAGAACTTCGTCCTGCATCATTTGGTTGTTCATTAGAAAAATCTTGTTGTGAATGATTAGATTTATTCGAAAGAAAATTTCGAGTTGTTTGACATGGATACGATGCACGTAAACGTGAATGAGCATTAGCCATAATGGGGATATTTTCATAAGATATTGCTGAGTATTTTCGTTTTTCATCGGATGGTGTTAAAGATGGCCGTGCACTTGACGTTGGGTTGGAACCAAAAAATCTTGAATGTAAATTTGTATATGGATCACTAGTATCTTGAAATAAATTTCGATTTTGTTGTAAAAATTTTGAATAACATTTAATACATGTCGTTTTTTCAATGATTGAACGTACACTATTTGCTAAGTGTTGCTGTTGAGATTCATTATCGAATAATAAATCTTGTTTTATTAAAATATTATATTTATATTGATTAATAATACAGCAGATAATAATGAAAACGAATACAATACAATCAATTAATGGTAATAATATAGTATTCAATGTAATTAATGGCAGTAGTTTTATTGTTTCTGAATATTTTGGTGAATAGAATATATAGTTATAACCGAATATAAGTGCTAATGAACCACTTAAAATTAAAGCAACATTTGTATGTTTTGTTATTAAAAGATTGCTAGTACTAGATATATTTAATGACTGCTTAGTAATTGATAAACGATAATAGCGAATAAAGTATTGTAAAATACTTATGGATATGATAAATAAATGAAATGTACTGAAATTAATTGATATTTGTTGTGCAAGTGTTAATGGCAAAGAATAAAATGTTATAGAAGAATAATGTAAAAGATTTGGATGATAGTGTTTTAAAATTAAAATTATAAAGTAGACACATGAAAGGCATATGTTAGAGAATGAATATGCGCGTATCCAATTAGGATGTAAACAATTGTAGAGTAAAGATTTCGATAGGAAAACAACGGAACGATGTTGCTGTTGTTGTTGTTGTTGTTGCTGCTGTTGTTGTTGTTGATCACTATGAAAAAGGAGTAGAGCGAAATTATTGAGAATGATTGAGCTTGTTTTTTTTATATAGTTAAAATCTCCTACTTAGCGTCACATAAAGTTTGTTTTGGTAATTTTCTTTTTCGATTTGTTATTATAAATATAATTAGATTTTCAATAAGAATAAAACAAAGAAAACTAATTTCAATTATTTGTATGTATGAAAATGTTTTACGATGTTGTTGATATCGTGGAGGTGAAATTCGACTATGTGATGGTACAATGGGAGAATATAACATTTTTTGATGAAGTATTTCGAGCCAAGAAGTTTGATTTAATGATATTTTTGCTGTATCGTTAGTATTTATTGTGAATTTCATTTCTACGCTTATAAAAGTTGAAGAGTATTTGTCTATTTTCTTTTTTGCTGTTGATTGAATCAAATTACGAAAAACTTAATCATAATAAATGTGATTCAAAAAAAAATGTTCAATTTTAATCTAGAGAATGTATAAGGAAAATATTCATGACATTATCGAAGATATGAAATAATATATCAATTTGAAAACAATAATATTTTTATCTTTATCATTTCTAAACGATACACAGATCAAACTTTTATGAAATTATTTCTGAGCATTTATAATCGCTTGAATTGTATCATAATGTATTCATTGATATATGTTATTCGCAGTTCACTACTTCTTTTCTTTAACTTTTTTTCGCACCCTATAACTTTGCTCCTCAACAACATATTGCCCTATTACGGTCATTCAACTAACGAGACATGCTATGGAAAGACAAAAAAATGGAACAAAAGACTACAAAAACTCCCTTTAGACAAAATATGAGTATGCGTAAGTTTAAATCAAATATATATCTCTGGTCGTCTGCAACAGGGCCTAGAGAAGAAAAAAAATATAAAGCAAATGCGAATAATTTTACGCATGGTGTTGTTGACAAGGCGTTAATCTGAATAAAGATATATATCTTTATTTGAGTAATTTAGAGAGAGCGAGAAGCAGACAGAAAAATAATAGAGCAAGAAACTTGACAAGAGGGCAAAAGAAGAAAGTGATGAGATGGAAGACGTGTATTGACAGCACGCATCGAGTCTATTTATTGGTCATCTTTCATGCTTTTTGCCTTTAGTTATTAAGAAACAGAAATGCATTGAAAGAAAACGGAAATATGCTGCTGATGTGAACACTATGTTAATGTAAATATATAACACTATGTTAGTAATTTAACATTATTTCTGAATTCTACCACATGTAACATACCCGAATCCGTTTGAACCATGGTTTCTGTAAAAAATGTATTATTTTTAAACTCATAATTATCTGGATATGATCCATTAAATTCAATGCGTCTATCAGAAACTCTTTCAATTATGTTAATATGAGAACCTAGAAAGCAAAAATAAAACCGTAGAACATACATATTCAATGGAAATGCATCTAGAAAAAAGTCGGTTATTTTCACAAATTTTACCATCTGCAAATGAAATAATCATGTCACGTTGATATGCATTGTCGATTGAACAGAACGAAGACGACACGTTTTCGATCATTGCCATTGGTGTTGTTAAAGTAATGAGTGAGGGTGGAAAAAGAAAGACAGAAAGTGTTTGAAATAAGGGTACAAGATTTGATTGTACTTTATTTAAGGTTGCTTTTTTAAAAATTGAACTAGAATGAAGTTCAATGTTATCAATACTGATTTCTTTTAATTCACCCTGAAGATGACGAATTGATGTTGTTAATGGAACTAAAATCGAGAAACAAAAAGAATAACATGTCGGTAAAAAGCAAAATATTGGTTTTAACAATCAACTGAAAGAGAAGATCTTGTTTTACTTCTTTTTTTGCTGCTGCTTTTCTTCTTTTGACAATAGATTTATTCTTTGACCTCCGTCTTTTCTTCTTCTTCTCCTTCTTTTTTTCTTTATGATGCCAGATCACATCTCGTTCAAGCGCTTCTTTTCTTCAGTTCTTTTTGTGTCTCATACTGAATTTAATGACGATGTTCTTATTCGAGATTGATTCACTCTGAGGACTTATGGGCTCGTTTGCTCTTCTCACAGACGAACTCATAGAATTCTCTCGATCGTTATTCTTTTCTTTTGATCAGATGCCTCTTCAACTACTCATTTCGATAATATGACGATGAAGAATCTCTTTTCTTCTTTCTCATTACTTTTTTCTATCTAACAATGGAATCATTTTGCCAATTTTTTGACAACTAATTTCTGACAAAACACTGATATATATATATATATATGCATGTATTAGAATATGGAAATATATTAATAACTACCAGGGAAAAGATCGACCAAATCCGATAACGATGTATTCGTAATCTACTTATTCAAAAATATTAGCTCTTCCATTACATTAGACATATCTCTTCACAGAGATAAGGATGAATTTTCCACGATGATCCTTCCGACAATCGGACCAATAATATCCTATAGGAATCCGATCCTATTTAAAATGAATTTCCAATAAACCACCGAATTCCTATCGGATTCCGAGTTGTGGAACGACATTCGAATCCCTAGTGTCGGAATAACATTGGGTAATCATCGGATTCTACTGTCGGATTGTGACGGATCCAACGTTCGACTTGGACCACCTCCTCTAATATTGACTTGAGGTACTAGTTAGGTGTCAATCAATTAAATGCTTCTTTTCGTCGGATCCGTTAGTGGTTCCGGCCACGGAACCCCATCGGATTTTATAGGCTGGTTGGATCCGATCAGATCCTGTCAGATCCGATATCGGATTCATTCATCTGTGTTAGATACTTATTCAAATTAAGTATACTCTTATATCGACATGAAATACTATTATTGTGTTGTTAGCTCTCAGAAAGATTGAGACTTATTATTATTTTTATTGCTGGGCTGTTCCATGAGAAGTCAACCAAAAAAACAAAGTATCCAATTTTTTTCGTTCTCCTCTAGTTTTGTAGAGCCCGTTTCGCTAATTATTTCAGTATAAAAAATTAAAATTCACAAGTGAAAAAAACATTTTATAGTGAAAATAGTAAAACTGTTTTTTTTTTACTAGAAATACCTTAGGTTTTTCGATATTTTAGCCCTAGCGCAGTTATTTCTAGGCACTTAAAAAAATATATACATACCAAAATGTTCAGCTCAATTAGCTCTACAAGATAAGATAGTTTTAAATTGCTTAAAGCCCTTTTTCAATGATTTACTTAAGTAAATGGGCTAAAAAAAGTAGACTTCTTTATCTAAAATGGCTACATTCTGCTGGAATCTGAAATATAGGGTTTTGTAGAGCGGAACGTGCTCTAGAAAACCCTATATTCTGTTTTTCAAATACGGTCAGAAATCTTGCTTGAATAGCGTCACAACATTATGAGGATCATGCACCATAAGAAAAACCAGCTATGCGTCTGATGATTGATCAATTTTGTCTTTAAAATCTCAGATTCAGAATCAGAATCGATGGTTATCTCTTAGAAAATTATATGAAACTAATATAACTAAGCCACTAGTTTCTATGAAATGCAATTACATCAATATGGCGTCTCGCGACAT